GGTTGATGAATGCCATATCTGCATGTTGCATCTGTACCACACAGTAAGTTCTGGTCATTCCCCATGTGTACTGTTGAGGGAACAGGGGCAGAGTCAGATGATCAGTGATCTAATTATAAATGACAAGTCGGTCCAATGTGACTATTTTAGTTATCTCACTTGTTGATACACTAGCCTGACATGTTTCGATCCATTTGGATCATCTTCAGAGGCACCAAACACTTTTTTGAAACCACTACCACAACAGTTGTCAATCAAATACACATGTAATGTCCAAGTACACAATGTTCCATCTATCAGTCACAGCAGCCTTTCTGGTTATAGAAATATTTATAGTTGTTTTAAAGTTTTAAAACTTTGTTAAAAATTAAAATTCATAAACCATACGGTTCGTGTCAGTAACCTCTGTCATCTCTCTTCAAGGTGGCTGGTGTTGTGCCGCCTATGTAACTTGAGTAGGGATATTCTTAATATTGTCCATTATGATTTCACAGCACAGCGGCACGCACACAGGAAGACCACACAGAATAACACCTGTACAGTGTGGAACAAGAACTAGCCGCTCCAGCACTTTAGACATAGGGCGAGTAACCCTAACAATTTTAAATTCTAAATTTAAAATTTAGAGAAAATTTTAAAGGATTTTAAAATCATAACTAAAGATTTTATAGTGCTACTACAGGAAAATTTGACGTGTGCAATATAATCTACATACCAGACACATATCAACGAGGTAGATGTTGATAATACGACAAAAATAACAATGTGTTTTTAAATGTTAAATTTTAGACTGGGTTTCAGTGTGGCAGCAACGTTAAGAGTATACACCTGATGATGGCCGATAGAGGCCGAAACATGTAGTGTAGAAAAGAACAAGATCAAAGACATATAATATATATTGTTTGCACTTGGGACGGAGTGTGTATCATTTATTGTCTTTTATAATTGTAACTGTTAGTGTGACAGACCAAAATGAAACAAATCAAAGTCAGTGTTCTGTTCCACTGGCACCATCAGAATGTTTATTGGAGATGGTGATAGTTTGAAATGTTGGATACCAACTCCATATTGATATGGACGATTGTCTGAGGAGACATCAATGCATACTATAGCTGTGAAAGCTTCACATTGTATAAAACGGTACATAGTTTTTAAACACTGGAGTGACAGGTTAGCAACTTTCACTAAGTTCAGTATTACTTGTAGACCATGACACAAGTATACACATGTGGGGAATATGTTGTGCTAATAGAAAAATAAATTTCCTTAAGGGAAATGGTCTTGAAAATACCGTCAAGTGTTAGTGATTAGATCTTGGGTTTTGACTGATGACTGGATTTACTAAACACTTAGAACTTTAACTGCAAATAATTATAACAGTCTCACTGGCTTGAACATTAAAGTTCACTATTACTACTGCACACAGAAAGTCTTCTGTTTGTTATTCAATCATCATTGGCCACTGCAAGGTAGCAGCTGCTAACAATCCAACTCAGGACTGCTAACCGCCAACTCTAATCTCTCATTGACTGGAGCCTCTGACCTCCAACTGACTAACTTATTCATTGCCATGGAGAAATTTTTACTATGTCGTTGCCTAACAATGGCTGCAACTATTCGTTCCACTATTCCAGCTTTTAGCCATCATGTCACAGTATTCCCTCATAAGTATTATTGCAAAAGCATGAGAAAAGACATCTCTTTCAAGGACAAAACATGCAGATATATTACTCAAACCTGCATATTATGATGAAGTTTTACTTGTGGAGACAGTCACTAAGCAACAGTTGGCATAAAAGTTGAGATAACAACTAATAACTGTGGGGAGAAGGAGAAATGGGACAGAAAACAGGAGCATCAAGAAGCAGTAGCATTAGCAGCATTCAGAGGAAGTTCAGTACAGCACAAACAGAGGAGCACAGACAATAGACCAGGGCTGCCAACACTCCCTCCCACTTCCTCCAACATATTCAACATATAAACATTTAAATTTTGTCTCAGAAATAGCTAGCTTAAAAATAATCCATATCTCACACAAAGAGAAGATTAAGTTTTAGTATTACACCAAGGGTATTTGAAATGTACATGAGAATAGAGGAGCTGATATTTCCATACATGCTTCTCTAAACCTCTACTTAAATCCCTCCTATTATTTGAATCCATCAGAGGATATATTTCAGGAAAACAAGCCTATTTTACAACTGATTTGTTATTCCTTTTCAGTTACATAACATACAGCTTCGTAACCTACATTACACTGAGCCAGATTACGTTATCTATAGGAGCAAATTCATATTTACAACAGTTTCTGTTGCATGCTGTAAGAAATCTGAACATATTATCAGAATGCATTAATGGCAAACTATTCACTCTATTTTCATCAGTAACTAAAGAGTCAAAATAGCATAATGCTATCTTATGCCTGCTGACATGTTTTCAGTCATTTTTATGAATGGTTAAGTTCATTTTTTAAACAAATTTGAGCTTGAAGATGAAGAAGACCACACTTTCTGTAATTGCAATTAAATATAAGACCAAAAAACTATTCCCTTTTATTTAACTTATCATTGGTAACTGACGTCATACATGATACCAAATAAAGAAAATCACAATTTTGCATCACCAAAAGCATAACAATTTTGAAATTTTTATACATTGTATGTTTTTATACTGTCCATCAAAAGTAAAGTTCCAATCTTTAATGTATTTCATGCATACAATATTAACTCAAAGAAGTTAATATACAAATACTTTAAAATATTTTTTCATGAGTGCTTGTTCAGATTTCACAAATATTTATTCGTAGGAATATGACATGAATATACACCATCTACATTCCATATTATAGATTGTTAATGATATATCAACTACATATTATATCATCTATGTACATATTAACTGAACTGCACAAATAAAAATATAAAATAAATTTGTGTTTGTGTGCATTGTCCCAGTATACTGAACTCTTGATTATGATCAATAAAGGTGGAGAGAATTAGCGTAGATAATCCCTGAAATACCCACTATCCATACTACATTCAGTCTTGAAAATCAACTGTTACTAGCCGATCTTGTCGCTGATTGCTAAACAGTCAAACAGATACCTCTGTAAGAGAAGAATCACTCTTTTTCAGAGATAGTAAGCCAGTGTAAACAGCAGTAAAATGATAAAATGGAAAGGTGCACTTAGTTGAGAAGATGTGCAGTCTACTAATAATCACTGTAAGGCATCACATACATGTTACCAAGACAGCAACACTTCAGTCATTTCGCAACTAATCTGAAGGCAGATACTTGAGGATTTTTAATAACATAATTCCATAAAGAGATTTGAAAAATAATCCAAACATATGGACATGAATGCTTGTGTAATTGTGTGACGCCCAGAGCATATAAGAGATGAGAAACAAAAAAGTATATATATATACACACACACACACACAAGTATTATGATTTCAAATTCAAATATATATTTCATTTTCCAACAGTAAAGGATAAAGATTATATTAGGAAATAGGAGGTCCAATATCTGCCCTAGTGAAAAAAATAAATGTGGCTTTGCAATATATATGAGCCTTCACTAACATGAAACGAACATACTTAGCACTGAGTCAAGTATAAACATGTTAAGAGCAGGAAGTAAGGAGAATAGTAGATAAGTAAGTAAAATAGCTATATGAAGAGACAAGCCCATAGCCCATCGGTCTGAACTGCTCTGTTGGTCTGGCCCACACATGTGTGCTCAGTGTGTTTGAAAGATTGCAGAAACAAACAAACAGATTTGTGTCTGAAATTAAATCAGGCTGAAAACTTTCTTCACTGCTTTCAAAATTGCTTTTCAATTTTCCTTTAAGTCTCTGTCATTTAGGAAATACCTCGTACGTGCACCTTCTTGGGTAGTTCTGGTGGCGTAAACGTAGGGGGAGGGTGGTGGTCATCTGCAAGAACAAAACGACCCTCAAAACACGTCAACCAGCCTCATTCATGTAACACACAAAGAGGATAGAGGCAACTTGCATGTTATAAAACTAAACCATATACCCATCAGAAGTTAATCTAATAGTTGCCACTAATTTATTTTTAAGGATAATTCAGCACTTAGCTGAAGGCTTCATTTCTGTGACAGACTTTGAAATATCAAACAACAAAAATTTGAATGACTTTGAGAAGGGTGGTATGAAAAAAATGATATATTCAAATCTGAAGCAAATGATAAAATTTAAAGTGTTAATAAGGTGTCATAAAAAAACACGTTTACCAAATGATTATTAACAACATCATTATCTGTTGCCATCTTTCAAAATCTTATGTAATGATCAACCTTACAATAAATTAATGTGGCCAATATTATGAATCCAGTATAAAGGAACACATCACATGCTACCTTGCTGCAAAAAAAAAAAAAAAAGGGAGGGCTGGGAGTCACAACTCACATATTAAAAACACGTAATGTATTGTAATTTCAAACGTGTTCAGTTGATACCACAATAGGAACATGATGCCAACAGCTAAGTGAAGAGATCCTTATGTAAACAGTTTTTCATGCGAAACCTACTCTAAATGAAAGTCTTCAATAAGTTTTCTACTTTCACGTTAGAATAAGAAAATATGTTAGAATGAGAAAATATGACAATTGCACTTTCACATTAAACAACACAAAACACAGAACCAAGATTTCCATAGCAAATTGTTCATTTGCTGCAATTAAAACTAGAGAATAAGTTTCAGAACATTATCCCTTGTATGGAAGAATGTGAGGCTACACAAAACATTAACACTACTATGAAACTACTGAAAACGAGTAATGTCAGCTTTACCACTCCTTACCAGTTACAATCTCCACACCTATTTTATATACACAATTCTTATCCCACAGAAACATTCAAGACATACTAGAGAAAACTCAGATCTTTGATGTTAATTACATTTTCAATTCCTGCAAATGTTCTTTGCTCTGAAACATGCATATAACGTGTGAGATTTGCAGTATTTCAGAATGTACACATCATACGACAAATCCCCCAAGTCAACAAGAACAATTCTGTAGGATATACTAGATTAACAGACTATGCTCTTAACTATTTACATCTACAATGACAATGACATTTGTCCAAACCAGTGCAAATGTGTGCAATTCATATCAAACCACCATCACGACCATCCTCAACAATACAAGGAATGTGAACAAGATACAATGTGGTAGAAAAGAGGGCCTGCAAAAAGATAACTAATCACACTCTACAGCATACACATGTAATCATGCCTCAAGCTAACAACACTTGCCAGTATCTGTCTTCAGATATGACTATTCAAAATGCAATTTTACCTTATTCAGTGGCATAAGAAATAAAAAAGAAATTGGTGTATCAAATGTGTAAATGAGTTAAAAAATTTTGCGTTTCTCGTAGATTGTTGAATCTTGCGAGCATTTCCCTGAAGCATACTCTGGCAAGTGTATTTTACTGCAGCCATCTCTTGGGCAATATTAAAAACCCAGTCTGCCATTGTGATTTCTAATTATTTTCATCTTTGAGTATTTTTATTACAGAACCACCTTATAAGTTCAGGATTTGAAAACTTTACTGGAATGTACACTGATAATATTTATGATGAACATACCCTTATGGTGATAGTTTGAAATCATTTCAAAACAATTAATTATTCCAAACCCTGGAATTCCTTCAGCTGATTGTAAAACAAGCTAACACACTCAACAAATACTTTCATTGACTGAAAGCACTGTGCTGTGATTTGTTACATGAAACGAGTTCCACAATAAATATAAAATATAAAACAGTTTGTTTCAGCTGCATAGAATAATACAAAAGAATTCGAGCAGACAGGAGGGTTCTAACTTTGCCTAGAATGCAGAACATACAAACTAAAGCACAAGAGGAATGGTGAATATAAGAGCATGCCACAACTGCTACTCAGCTCTGCATTAAGAGGCATTGGAAGAAAGATGGAAGCAGGAGTTGATAACATGACCCAGTGGTGGGACAGAGACACTAACAAAGAGTTTGAAAAATGAGTGCTATCAAATTTAAATCATTAGGATCAGAGAAGAGAGAAGAGATTAAATAAAATACTTTTAAGGAAGAAAGAACAAGGAAGGATTAGATTACATGACCCATTTTATTGTGGCACCAACACACTGGTGAAAAAAATAACAAATGAATAAAAATAAAATTTCAGTCACTAAAATGGGAAGATAAAAGAATATGTGATTAAATAAATAAAGAATACTTTGAAAGTGTAAGGTACAAGAGTTTAACAGAGACTGCCATGTTGCAATATGACCTACTTTGGACAAGAGCAGCTGACACAATTTACTGTTCCGATTTTGGTGTCACTTGTTCCATAATATTTTATTTAAACAAGGCCAGATTACATTAGTTTGGCACAAACATGGTCATCTCTTCTGAATATAGCAATGAAACTTCAGGTTCCATAAAATGTGAACAATTTCTTGACCAGCAACATGGTGACAGCTGTACTACTCCCAGAATCATGAGACACAACCAACTGCCATACTCTGTACCAATCGCCTACCAGGTAAGAGCTGAAGGCCCAAATTGAAAGCAAGAGGATGTGACATGTTGCCTGGCCAGGGTGATCGCATACCTTACAAGCCTCTGATAAATTAGTACAGGGGAATGGCAGAATCATGATTGGCATGGGAAAATTGAAGAAACTCAGAATAAAGCCTGGTCCAGTGTTCCTTTGTCCACCATGAATCCCACATAAAAACACACAGGACTGAACCCATGCCTCCACACTAACGGTCTAGCATCTAACCGCTGCCTACAGTATGGCTTATTTTCATAAAATGTGGGGCCTTTATTGACTGAGCAAATATTACTTTCTCAAGAAGTATTTCTTTCTGAAGTTTGTTGATTGGTTATACAAAAGCTTATCATGTAATCATGTACAATTTGAAAACAGTTAAGATCCAGAAAGTTTAGGCTGTGTGAAGCAGATGAAATCACAATCATATTCAGTGCCTCACTATTCTCATATGCAAGTGAATAATTTAAACAGGAAATTTTATTTCATTTTGAACAAATGTCACTCATTTTGAGATTCTTGTTGTCATGTGGCTCTTAACAAAGTATCAAGTTCACATGCAACATGAGACAGAAAGATATGAAAATGGGTGTCCACATGAGTAAGATAGAGACAGACTTGAGTGAGTAAAAGAGAAGAAAGTGAAATGAAGACTTGGAAAAAATGTGTGCACGCAGAGAAATTCAAACCTTCAATGAGTGAGTGAGTTAACTGATTGACCTAACTTACTTGCATACAGGTAGTCCTCGTCAGCTATCAGCCAACAGGAGAACAGGAGAGAGAGTGAGAAAAAAAAAGAACAGAGAAAAAATAATGAGGAGAAGTGAACTGATCTCTTTATAAACTAAAGGACAGAAAAAATAACATCTGTTAAATACCAAGAGAGTAGCAGTGGAAAACAATACTCTATGTAGAGTCTCTATTGGACAGGTTGTCATACTACATCCTAGCTCCAAGAAACACTGCTAATTCAGCTTCCAGATTAGTAACAAAAGGCAAATCTTGGAGTTGTCTTGGTAAATCATAACAGAACACATAAAACCACTGTACCTCTATGTTTTCCACTAATGTCAGGTAACTGCAATATACAGAGGTCACATCATTTTGCAACTGCCAGAGTTGCTGCATGCTTCTTTGATTTGATATGTCCAAACACATCTTTAATACTGTGACAATTACAACATATTTTTAGCTTATGTCTATGTATATATTTTTAAAATCCTTTTATAGAATTCTTATCCATGACCATAATCATCTTTTAATATCTACTATCCTTTATTAATGAATAATATCATTATGTGTATGCAAATGTTATAACTAAACACAAAATGCTTAGCCTGAAAAAAATCGCAGCAATTCTAGCAGTTTCATATAATGACAACCAAGATCACCATCTAGTGTTTAGAATAACTATACAAAGAGGGTCGCTGGCGGTGGATGCCTCATGCACCGCATAATTAATAACAATAGTTAAGTAGTGACAGTGGTGACAACTGAAACAGTGAACAGTGTTACTGACACATATCACGACAATCATTGCTGAGGAAAGGGGACACAAAACAACGAGGAGACTACAACACTCAAACACCGTGTTGTACTGTCATGTCAATCAGCAGAAGATTCACTGGTCTTACAATCAGTTAAACGTGCTGGTGTCAAATTAGTATAGTAGCCATAAGAGTGAATGTGTGTGTTTGTGTGTGTATATGAGATAGCCTTCCTCACATCTGTTTGTGTAACTTGTCACACTACTACACATTAGACACTGACTGTGGTTTGGGATGTGCCAAAATGCAACCAGCATTTTAATTTAACTTCTACCAACTGCAGAATCTCTCACATAAACAAAGTGACTTTGCTATGTGACATAAGTTTACAAAACAAACAGTCTCCACAGAGAGAAACGGATCTTAAAGTATACCTAATCACTAAATTACCTTCCTAACATAAAGGAAAGTAAGTGCTGAAATTACAGTTGTGGCTATACTGTAATTCATAACCACTAATCATAAGAATTTATTTTATAATTTGCAGGGCAAACTATCAAAATAATTTAAATACTTACAATTTTGAACCAGAAAATTTAAGACACAATTTAATCTTTCTTTATATAAATAACTTATCCTAGGAGGGCTGAATGCACTCTATCAGTAGCAATTATGCAAAAAATATTAAGCACTTCTCCTTATCTTCCTAGAATATGACCTAAATTTCTTGGTCATGCAAAAACAGAGTAAATTACTGTTCAACTGTAAAACAGACTACTTCTGTATGTCTGTGCATAATACATCACTGCCATAACCAACACTGAATCTCCACAGGACTTCATAAATTTACCCAAAATGACATAAACAATCAGACTTCTTTATCAACTGATGAAAACAAATGTCTCTCTATTCTTGACCAATTACTTACATTTCACCATGTACATTACAAAGTATTTCAAAATAAACTCATTTCAATGTTCCAAAATAAGATACTAACACCTTGAACATATCTCCAGAAAACAAACATATATGACATAGCCCTTCAGATCATAAGAAGTTGGGAAATTTAGTCAAAGACATGAACTGTTACTTATCCATTATAACCACAGCCAAACAGCATTATAAAGATCCGTTTTTGTTGTGAAGTACTATGCTCAAACAAAAGTGATTATATTCTGTAAACACTCACTTGTATGTTTTGCTGGGATCCAATCTGTATGAAAGTACAGCTGAAGGAAACAATGTTGCTGCTGAGGAATGAACTACTGGGCATGTTCATTAACCACAGGTATATGTGAGACACTTGTATCATAACACATTTGAACATTAAATTATCAATCGTTCCTAAAGGAGTTCTTACAATGGAGAGGTGATTAGAGATGGGTAACACTCAAAGCATTACATCTCAGAATAACAATAAAGGTTAGTGACTAAAAACTGCAATATTTGACATATTGTTATATAAAACACTGTCTAAATTTCTTTCCCAAAATTGCTTTAGCATGTTTCAGAGATCGTCTAGAGGGACACATATTTAATTGTACAAGCCTCATTGGTGAAATATTTAATCATATCAAAGAAAAGCTTCTTTCTCAGTTTAAATACGTTCCAGTTACACAGCTATTAGCATTAAATGAAATATATGTCAGTTGGTCTCAGTACTGACAAAGTCAATATGTACCAACCAATTGAATGAGGTATGGCAGTATTACTAATGAAAAGATGAAATGGCTGTGGTAGAAAATTCTTATAACCTCTCTCACAATATTATCCCAGAATCTGAAGAGGATTATCTCTTGATATGTCACAGCGTGTACTTGTAAACATTTACCAATATTTCGGAGGAACCTGCTGCCTCCATCTTTAAGGTACAGCATGTTCCTCTGAATGTTGACAAATATCTAGGAGACTATATGGCATCATATCCCAGAAGGCTGTAATCTTCATGATCAGTGCCTAAGAACCTCATATCTCACATCTTATCGCCTCTCTGGAGGCACTGGGAAAAATCGTGAAGTTCACAATAAATGAACATCTTACTGAGATTCAAAATGGGCACTACCCAAAATGTAAGGGAAATATCCTGCTGCTGAGCCAAACCGAAGTTACATGAGAAATATAAGCAAGCAATATTAAATACCAAATGAAATTTCTCTGTGCAGTGAGACACAGTTTAACAGTATGATGAAGTAATTGTGTTTTAGGCCACACCATAGCTCAAGTGGTTAGTCGCTGGCTTCCCACCACGGCGGCCCGGGTTCGATCCCGGGTCTGGTCAAGTGGGATCTGTGGTGGACAAAGTGGCACTGGGGCAGGTTTTCTTCAAGTACTTCGGTTTCCCCTGCCAATCTTCATTCCACCAAATTCTCCATCATCATAATCACCCGGGACAGGCTACAATAGGTCAATCAGTGGCTGCTGTGCCGAGTTGACCCAGGTGGACTCCACCCCCCACTAAGCGAATTAAAAAAAAAAGTTAATTGTGTACTCTTAATGTTTATATTATCTTCAATGGTCTCTTTATAAGCTTGTTTGTTTCTCTGTATTTAAAGGTGCTGTCAGTAACTCACTTTATGGTGGGGGGACCCCCCCCCCTGTTCCTTGATTCAAGGTTTTCCTTCATTCAGTGTTCAATTTCAATAACGCCAAATCAGTCCAGTGATAGGCCATGCCATAGCTCAGGCGGTTAGTTGTTGGATTCCCACCACAATGGCCCAGGTTCAAGCCCAGGTAAGGTGGGATTTGTGGCAGACAAAGTGGCACTGGGGCAGGTTTCCTCCAAGTACTTCTGTTTCCCCTGCCAATTCTCATTCCACCAACTACTCCACACGTATCATCAGTATAGGCCAGTTAATGGCTGATGTATCATGCGGACTCAGTCTCATCCCACCCCTAGACTCTTAAAAAGAAAATCAGTCTAGTGATCATCATCATCAGTAATCTGTCAAGATGACAGGTCCACAGTCTCTTCCAAAACAATTCCTCCACTTAATGCGATCTAGAGCTTTCTCCTTCAAATGACAGTATCCTCTTCTGTCCCCAAGGTCATCCAGCATCTTCTTACGTCTTCTTCCTCGTCTTCTTGTCA